GTTGCCTCCTACACACACCCCAACTGGGACTGGGGATCAAACCTGCAACCCTTCCGTGCGCAGGCTGCCACTGTAACCACTGAGCTACACTAGCCAGGGTACATTTTCGTTTTAACTTACTCTCCAAGAGTGATTTAGTTTTTACTTAATATTGCAAACTTCAGTGGAATTAACTTTTTCCCCACTTTTGATATTTAATTGTCATTATGCCTGGCCATCTGGAACTCAGTGGAGATAGCATCTTAAATGCAATATGTATTGCACTGGGTTATAATGGCTTTTTAATAATCATGTGGGAGAAAGCTGTTCTATATGTCTCCAAATACTGCTATGACCCCATTTATGAAAATGATCCCTCATCCCCATTTGTCTTACACCACAAATTCAAATGGGGGTTTGGGTGTGGAAACTAAGAATCTCTTTATAAGATTGTCAACAAATTGGTGGGAGGTGACAGCAAGCAGAGGCATAGGAAGGGTATAGGAAAAGTTGAGAGATGAAGTGTGGCAAGCATTACAAAGCTATGTGCTGATCACGGCACAGTGACTGTGCTGTTATGTTCTCTCCTCCCTTCCCTTGAAGGCAAAATGCCTCTATTAATAACTTCCCAGGGACTCATTAACTTCCTGAACTCAGGGTCTCAGATACAGTTTTAGTTTTTTTCCTCAAAAAAAAAATTTTTTTTTAACTAAACTGTGTTCAAAGCAGCATAAAAAATAGTGAGAAATGGTGGCTAGGGAGAAGTGGGCAGGAGGGATTGCTCCTCTTTCTGTTACCAGAGGGCCATAATTACTGTTGTTGTATAATTTATAAGTTTCATTAGTATTGCCCATCGTTGAAATTAAAGAGACTATTGTGCAGAAATTTTCTAAGGTGCAGGAAAGAAAAAGAGTGGTCGGGTACTTTTTCTATCTTTTTTCACCAAAAGATACACCAGGCTGTGCGTTGTAGACCGTGTTCTACCATCCCTGAATATGCACAGACAAGCCTGTGAACAACTACAAAAGCAGGATTTTTCACTTCCCCCAGCCTTTTCCCAAAGATCTGTAAATAGAAACATTGAGAAGGTCAGGAAGTATCTGTTGTTCTATTATTTATACGTAAGATAACACCCCAAGTACTTTCTCCAGGTAAGTTATAGATTGTAGACCTCAAACAGTCCTCAGCAGGTCCAGGGCGGAAAGCATAATTCATCACATGCGAATCCCTGAGCAGAGCCTTTTCTTCCCTCAGAATATCCAGTCCTAAGAACGATCCTCAGACAGTCCTCCCATTAGCCAGGCTCTTCACTCCATTAGGTCGTCATCTCCTTTATACAGATGGTAAAAATCAGACTGGCCACTATTTAATGACAATGGCATTGCTTAAGGACAAGAACTTTATTATTTTCTTTTCCAGAAAGCTTAGAATTTTAATTCGCCTCAATTAAGTAACAGAATTTTACAGTTTTCCCAAGAAATGGAGTCATTTATCAGGAAGTAATTCTCAAAAAGATAAGGTAGTATTTTTAAATGAAAATACAAAATTACACCTCTAGGGTAATAGGGTATGCTCTATTATCTTATTCTTCCTTACTTAGATTTTTGAAGGACATATTTAATACAAATAAGCAGAAGATCGCTACCTTAAAACAGAAAGTAGACCAGCTTGAAGCAAAGTGTCAAGAGCCTTGCAAAGACACAGTCAAAATACACGATATAACAGGAAGAGGTAAGTGACACTTTGATGTGGGGATTAATATATAAAGCAAAAGAGATTTCATCTTTTAGAATGCATAGGAATAGTTTTGAAGGTGCTTAGCCATTGAGTCTAATTGTATCCAATTGCTTGGACTTTGCTTGAGTAGCTAAAACTAGTTTGAAAGGAATAATGATGTGAGAAGGAAGACAATGCTTTGCGGGAAATGAATAGTTTACAACTGGCTAAAAGCCCATGTTCAAGGCTGGAGCAGTCTTACCTGGATTTCAGACCACAGTATAGGCTTCTTCGTCTTCTTCAGATTGTCAAGATATCGCCAATAAGGGAGGCAAAGAGAGTGGGCTTTACTTTATCAAACCTCTGACAAGTCAGCAGCAGTTCCTAGTCTACTGTGAAATGGAAAAAAATGGAAATGGATGGACTGTGCTTCAGAAGGTATGTCCCCCCGCCCTCATCCTGTGTGTTTAATAAACACTCAAATAAGCATCAGCCTTAGGCTGGATACTTTTCTAAGCACCCTGTGAACATCAACTCCATGAATCCTCACACCTTCCCTGTGGGGTTGGTACAATTATTACCTCTATTTACAGAGGAGGAAACGTAGGCACCAGAGGTAAAGTCACTTACCCAAGATCACAAAACTAACTAGTAAGTAACAGAGTCAGGATTGGAACCCAGGCGGTCTTATTTCAGAGTCTGTGCTTTGACTGGATACTGTGCTGGCACTGCCACTGTCGATATGTGATAGCACATAGTCACAGAATCCTAGTGACAAAAAGCCCCACAGAGAGTAGGAAAAAGTTATTGAAGTTGAAATCTGGAATTGTAAAAACCACCACTGAGTGTCAAACTTATAAAAGCAGAACTCATTTTGTGCAATGACCATAAGGAAAGACGACTGTATAGCTTTTTGTTTTGTTCTGTTTTGTTTCTTTTAAATGAAGAAAAGCTTTGTTTCAGAGTTGCATACTTTACTGGAGTAAATTTGAATGATCCTACTCCTTTGGAACAAACAGTGCTTACTGGTTTCCAATTGTATTTAGCTTTTGGTTGGAATTTGAAAAAATGAAAACCTAAATAAAATAGGTGAAGTTCCCTGACTATTCAGGTGAATACACACACACACACACAGCCACACAGGAAACCGGAAGGGTCTTGTTTCATCAGTTAGAGCAAGACCTACAGCTCCCAGTTAAACACAGATACAGTCCCACAGAGGATTCCGTTGGGCTGTTCCCAGGCAAGGGCCCTTTGTTTCCTCTCTGCCAGTCCCTGGCAGTTGCCACAATCCTTCTGTTTACCTCTGACCACCTTTACGAGTATTCCTGCAGGGGGCGCTCAGAGGGCTTGGGGGGTGGAAGTGCTGGTTGGCAAACTGAGCAATGAGTTGACCTTTCCACCATCAGTACAAGAATCATCAGTGACCCGCTAGAGTTCTGAAGTCCTCTAGGTGTCTTTTAAAAACTACCACTAATCTAGAATGGAGCCCTGCGCTCTTTAAGTATTTCTCCAACATTCCCTCGTGTAATCCCTGCAATAATTCTAGAAGTCAGGATCATTATTCTTATTTGACAGATGAGGAATCTGAGGCACCTTGACCAATGTCATCTAGTTAGTAAATGATGGGATCATACCCTCTGTATTTCCAGCAAATGTTTATACCGTTTCCTTTATGCGCACTGATACCCTGTTCTCTCCTTTGCCTGTGCATGTGTGTAATTAGAGGCTTGATGGCAGTGAGGATTTCAAGAAAAACTGGATCCAATACAAAGAAGGGTTTGGACATCTGTCTCCTACGGGCACCACAGAATTTTGGCTGGGGAATGAGAAGATGCATTTGATAACCACACAGACTACCATCCCATACGTATTAAGAGTGGAGTTGGAGGACTGGAACGGCAGAATCGCGTACGTTTAGAAAAGACTTTGTGTTGTCTAGAATGTGCATTTTCCAACCATCAACAGACCACGGGCAGAGACAGCTTCACAAATGCAAAGAACACATCCAGCCATTTCCTCCACAAGTCATTTTGGTTCTTGGGCAGCCCAAAGAGATGGGTCCCCTCCAGGCTGGATCTGAGTATTTTCGTACAATCTACTCACCCCGGAACCACACAGAATCATTGCTGGTATTTACTGAGCATTTAATATTTAATAGAAATTGAGCATGAAATTATAATTTGATCTAGACCTAATAACTCTTTCATGAGGCAGGTAATAGTGTTAATTCCAGGTTAACTTTCCCAAGGTCACATTGCTGGTATACAGTTAAGGTTGGATTTGAACTAAAGTATTTTGACTCTACAGATCATCTTAAGCCTATGTTGGTTGAAAAGCCAATCCAGCCTCTTCAGATTTCCTGGCTGAAATTAAATCAGCTAGCTCTTTTGGTGAGATAGAGCCCCTCTAATGCTCAGAGCTATCTGGGGGCTTTGAGCATTCATTGTACACCTAATTAAAATTCAGAGAAATATCCAACCCTCTTTTTATGTCTATGGAATAATGAAATATGTTTTATATCCAAACATGTATTTTTATTTATTTAATTTTCACCCAGAAACTACCATAGACTTGCTCCTGTGAGAATATCTCCAGTTTCACAAGTACTGGAGATCAGTGATTTTCTGGAAATCTCTGTTCATATACTATGGCTCATTCTTCCATGCACTCTGTAGAATTCTGGCCCTCACTCATATTTTTTTTCAAGAGAGAACTTCTCTCTGATCCCCCAGCTCATGTTTTGTGGGCCACACAGGGACCATTTCTTTTATGTGATGCTCTAGGAAGCCATCCTTATTGCCACGACCACATTGCCTTAGGAAAGAAAAATCCCACAGGACCTCACCCTTCAGAATGAACAGCTAAAGGGGGTGTAGTTCCTTTGGTGCACTGATGGTCATGCGCTGTCAGCTAATTACTGTGGTTTCTGATGACTGTATGAACAATGCTAACCATTTAGATAAAAGTGAAAACATAAAATTCATCAGATTCATCCACACATCTGGATTTGATATTAGGATCCT